AGTGTCGAACTTGAACACGAGGTCTCGCCAGAATTTTTCCTGCACACCTCTTCAGACAAAATCAAATCACAAATATCATCATATTTTATCTTGGATTTATCCGCAGAACTGCTAACTGCCATCATCATGGCTTCCCAGCTATTTGACAATGAAGCCAACAATATCAGTGCACGTATCTCATTGTCAAAATCAATTTCAACGGACGACAATTGATTTGTGATGGTGTTAAAAATCGTTCAGATGTTGAACAACAGACACACATTCCGCCATCTTCAGATTGAATAACTTTTTCATCAAGTACACTTTGTTATTCGTCGATGACTTTTCATACATACCTGATAAGACCGTCGTAAGATTTGTCGTCGTCCTTTCTTTTATGATATTGCAATAACCCCCAGAACCTGGAAGATGAAGTTTCTTCCCATAGAGGTAATCCTCTATCTGCATCATCCAGTATCCAAAATCCGTGTCGTCGAACTTCTCGATCCCCGAAACCTTCATTTCGTCTCCTGTCATCGTTTTTCCTCAGATCTGAACCAAGGCGCTGATACCAGTTGTTGTGAAAAACGACGACAATAAAGCGAAAAATGGAATGAGAAAAAAATTGCACGCAGGAAAAACACCAGAGCGACAAACGGATTTACGAGATTTGGCAAATTTGCCCACGTCCACGAAGCTGCAGACAATTTTATTTAAAGTTTATTTATTCGAGGAATTACACCGTCGAGCGTCTCGATGCTTATAAGAAAATTCTTATCTCCTTTCCTCCTTTCCTCTCTCTCTCTCTTTTGCTCACTTTCTCTTAGCTCTCAAGATGACTTGGTTTGGTCTTGCTTGACTTGCATTTCCTTTAGACCAAAAGAGACTATTTATAGAAACCATGAGAGCAGTAGATGAGAGGTAGGTGAGCGGTAGGTGGAATGTGGTAGGTGGAATGTAGGTGAACGGTAGGTGGGATACTTAATTAAGAAACTAATTAAATTCGGTGGACCGGATCTCCACATTACCCAACAATATATATATATATATATACATATACATACGTAGATATCTATATATAGATATATAAAGTTGCAATCCAAGGTTTCTTATTGAACCACATTGCAATAATATTAGTTTATTTGCCACTAGTTTACATGCTTAGCAACTTTTGTTTATTTTTTCTTTGAATTTTGAGGAAAGATTATCCAGTTTTTGCACAAAATCAAACTCTTACCTCCATAGTGTGAATCAAGCCCCCAACCAAGTGGCCACAGACAGAGATTTTCCCTTTAGATTTAGATTTAGATTTTTTTGTTAGTAATCAGTGAAATGCCTCTTATTTCAGCTTATCAAGTCCACTATAATGAAGCAAATGGAGATCGCTTCAAGTTTAAGTGCTGTGCAGGAGTCCACCTTGAGAGTAAGCCCGCCTTAATATAAATTACAAATTAATCTGTAATAAGCAGGGACAAATAGCAGCTAAAATACTTGTAAATGTCATTTTGTATATTAATTGATTGGCTTATTGTCTTTTCTGCAGAAAAGGTCACAATGTTGAGAGATTAGAGTATCGCTACACTCAAAAAAAATCATTTGGATCCCAATTTTATGGGTGGATTAATCAAATCCAGAGTAGCATCCGCAGTCACTTCGAAGAGTTTTAATGCTCCACCTGATATGAAAAAGCTGTTGTCTGGCATTTCTGAAGAAAATAATAGCAGAAAAATAAATGGCTGTACTTGGTTGATATGTAGCCGGAATGTCATTTTTTGGTTCATTAGTGCTGCTTCAGAGAGGCAGGCATGAATCGCTTGTAGAGCTGTAAATTTAGAGGTGCTTCAGAATACTTCATAAGGCGGGCTTGCAGCACAAGCAGCCTTGGTGTTCTTCCCCTTTTTTAACTCCCTTTTTTGTTCCATTTTTTGAAAATTTTTTTCCTTGGTTGACATTCTTTTTTGTAAGGTTTGATATAAGGAAATAAAAAGAGAATATAGGGAGGTGAAAAAAGTGAACCACAGGAAATTTCTGTTACTACAAAATGAAGAGTTTAGTCCTCAACCTAATGTTTTGTGTTGCTATGTTCCTCTGTGTACATTTTTACATTTCGGCTTTATTATAGTTTTCTTTCATTAGTAAAATCTTCTGATACTTGTTGGTATTTGGCAGATTATTAATAGGATTTAACTTGGGAGCATGTTATTAATAGGATTTTGCGATGGATTTAACTTAAAATTACCCAAAAATCTGAAAATGAAAATTAAATCTACTCTGTTATATTGAATTTTTTCACGTTATGTTTTTTTTCTTCTTTTTCCGTTTTTTGTATGATGTAAATCCAAATTACGAGGTGAATTTATTTCATTGTCACTTGTGAGCTCTTCTCGCACATATTAGATTTGATAAATTTAGATTTATCAGATTTGATAAATTTAGATTTATCAGATTTGATAAATCCACCTTTTTTAACTTGTGATGAATTGATGATTCGATGAATTGATGATTCAATTCTTGTAAACAAAATTTGGTATTTATGGGGTGTTTGGTAGGGGTGTAAACAAACCGAACACGAACGAATAGAACTTGTGTTTGTGTTCGGTTCGTTTGAAATTTAGTTTGTTTGAGTTAAGCTCGTGTTTAAATTGCTCGTGAAGTCATTGCTTGTGTTTGTTTCTTAACAAACAAGCCGAACACAAGATGAACATATTAATATATTATTATTATAAATTTATAAAATTTATTTTTTTTAAATATCATTTATTTTTTTATATGTAATTATTTTAAATTATTTTATATTTCGAAAATAACGATTGAACACGAACGAACGTATCACTGTTTTTGTTTGGTTCGTTTCGTTTAACTAACCGACCGAAAAAAATTTATTCATGTTTGTCTCGTTTGCTTATCGAACGAATCAAACACGAGCTCATTGACGAACCGAATATGAACTGTTCGCGAACAACGAGTTTTTTTTACAGCCCTCGTGTTTGGTATGATATTTTTAACAGGTTTTAAGTTGGATTTAATTTAAATCCAATTAAACATCATAAATAGATTAAATAAATCTGTTGTCAAGTTAAATTTATTTTTTGCTTGTTTCGTTAATTAAATTCGGATTTATTAAATTCATTTATTTATTGGATTTAACAAATTTTGCATAGAAAAATAATATTTCAAATAGATTTATGTCAAACACCTCAAATAAATTTAATTGAATTTAATCATGTTTGAATTTAATAAATCTGAATTTATTGGATTTACTGCATTGTATTTAAGTCACATCGTCCTTGCAGCGAAACACCCACTTAAACTATTTAATTGTCAATTTAGTCTCATTCATCATCTAAAACTAATTTGTTTGATTCCTTGTTATATACAATTAAGTATTACTGACAAATTGTCGGAAAAATAAAATTACACTGCAATTTGACTTAATTTTTTATTATTTATATATATAACACCTACAATTTTCTTTTTTATATTCATAGAACCCAAATCTTTTCATGTAGCTTTAAAAATATCACCATTTTAACATCAATTTATGAAAAGAAATACACCTTTTCATGCATAGGTAAGGTGGTAATGTATGTAAAAATTAGAGTTGAGCTATTAGGGTATAAATACATAGGTAAATCTTTTTATAGAAAATAGTTCGAAAGTATAATCATAATTTTTACCTATGCTTTTCACTTTCATTAAATCTTCGAAATAGAGAATGCCGATCCCAATTGTTCTAAAAGAAACTGGACGAACCGGTCATCAGTCACAATACCATTCCACCATTTGTATCGGAAACATAAAATTTGGTGCATTTACATACATTCATATCACTTTTCCTAGCTTTTCTATAAGTGAAGTATGTCTTTTGAAGCATTGATTTATGACACTTGTTGAGATTTGGATCCTGAAAGAGGTAAAATATTTATGTGCGTAAGATGTATGCAACATTGCGTAGGTCGGAGGTTATTCAGAGGGTACAGGGAGGTTCTATTCGCATTATACCCCCTTCTAACCTCCCTGTAACTTACATGTACCTACCGGAACTACAGAAACGCGAAATTTATTTGTAGGTTACAGGGAGGTTACAGGGGTATATAACCACCCTATACCCTCTGAATAACCTCCGGACGTACGCAACACTGCGTACGTCTTACGTATGCAAATATTTTCCGTGAAAGAGAGCACTCACTGCCACAAAGATGAATGCCTAAAACGGCATACCCAAGCCACATTTATCCTTTTTTATGAGGGAGATCTATGAAAAGTGTTGAAATTCAGAATAATGCAGAATATTTTTATTGATATGAAAAACGAGGTATAAATAGCCCTTACATGAATTCTAGAATAGAAAAAATAATAAAAAAGAAATAACGAAAAATGAAAGATTCCCTCCTTTCACCTGTTACTTGCATTTCCACACACAAAACCTTCAAAAAACATAACATAAACACATGTAATGCAAACAATTAATGACATTTTAAACAAAATTTAAAAACACGTCAATGAACTGCTTGTCTTTTCCTCCCATGGAAACTGAGTGATGGTTTCTTGTGCCTCCTTCCTCTTGCCAGACAAATCATAGAGTTACCTTACATAGTTGTCAGTAGTTCGCTTCCAAGTTCCATCTTGTTGAACACCAAGTTGAAGAAGATATTCAAGAAAGTACTAATGTCGAAGAGGATGCTACTGATATGGTAGTTGGCAATCAGGACGGTTACAATGATCGCATCGTTGTAAAAATTACTCTTAAAAGGCAAGTCTTCCTTGGTGAAGCCTATGTGAAGATGTGAGCAACATATGGGTGATAGGATGGTTGTTTATAGTTCTCTTGACTGAATCGTCTTTAGGCTGGTTTGATGAGATGAGTCTTTATCTCCTCCAAAAATGGCAGGAGCTACACCGACAATACGAATTTCGTGGACCTAGATTTGCTCGTCCAATATTTCCTCGAACTTTTCCTCAGTCGTTGGGTTGTTCCTCCTAGTGCTACGACTTCCTTCAATTTTCCCAATTTGATTAACTTCACGATTAAACTCCAAACAATCCTCAATGTCGTGGTTGTGGTCATGCTGGTAGAAACAATATTTCTTGGGATCTTAGAGGTAAGTTTCAGTCTTCATTGGAGGTGCTATACTAAAGTATTATTCATTTTTGTTTGGTTTCTAATTTCTCAACAATTGAATCTCTCAACGGAGTTGGTTTGAGTGTTTCATGGTTGAGTAGCTGGCGCTTGTCATATCGAGTTGGACGTTGAACATGATACAAGCTTGAATCCCTCAGTGGTGTGTTCTGTCAATCGCCCTATGAACTTGGGATGGTCGACCTTCTTCATAGTGAGGAAGGGTGAAAGGACGTGAATCCTCCATTTCTAGCCTTTGCCTTGGGTGATCTTATTCTGTGGGTAATGAGCTGAGGACTCTACTTTGGAGGTGGCAGGGTTGGAGTTATGTGCATTGGTTGTTATACGGTTTTTTGGTTAGCTCCAACAACTCCGTTAGTGTTCTCATCTGCTGCAACACTAAAGTGTATTAAAATTGTTATTCCTTCAACCCTTGAGATTGATCAGCATGTGCGATCGTGGGTTTCAGGTCATGCACTTATGATAGTTCCTTTTGAAAGCAGATGAAGAATGAGAGTAGACTCTCCTATGTCCTTGGTGGACTTATATAAGGGCTTGCAATCTCTTCAGAGGATTTTGGACACCGAAAAATTGTGCCATGAATAAGGGTGTAAATGGGTTGAGTCGAGCTTGAGCCACCCTCAGCTAGAGCTTAAGCTCGCTTGATTTAATTGCTTGAGCTCGAGCACAATTCTACAAGTTGGAGCTGGCTCACGAGCTAGATTATTTAGCTTGAAAGAGAGAAAAAAAAAGTAATATTTAAACTAATATCAAAATTAAATGGCAAATATAATGAATATTCAGGAAATAATTAATAAGAGATCTCTTGCTAAAAATGTAAAATATTAGGTTTAAAACTTTTTAAATAAATTTTAAAAAAAATAAAATTTAATATATTTAAGTATATTTTTTTATTAATTATTATTTAAAGGGGCTAACTTGAGCTTGGTATGTTAGCTCATTTAGATTATTTCATGTGCCACTTATCGAGTCGAGCCCGAGCCGGCTCACGAATCAGCTTAGCTCACTTACACCTCTGGCCACCAACATTTGCTTGAAATCAGTGAATGATGTGAGTACTCCCATTGGTAATCCATTGAGGGATGACTCCCTTAGCATGGTAAGAAAAGGTGTCATTTTAGCACGTCGGTGATTCTTATCAAACATAAGGTCAACTCAAAAGAGATTATATGATCAGTTGGGTTGGTCTGCCCTTTGTAGGACTCCAACACCGAGATCTTGAATGGTTTTAGATGTTTTAAAGGCTCGACCTTAGAGATTTACCTCAAGAATACATTCTTAGGTTGATCGGGCGCCTCAGTATGTCTGAAATGATGTCAATTGATTGATGTTGACCCAACACTATCAAAGTATTGAGAGCTATCTCTCTAGAAGGCTATAAGGACTCTCTCGTCATTGGGGGCAACCCTTCATCCCAGGGCTGCTAATGTCTCTCCTAAGTCAGCGCGCCTTAGATGAGCTCCAACATATGATCCTTTAACTCTTGGATTTGCTAGGCTATGAAGCCTCTAGTGCACTCCATATTGTTAGTATCTCTGATATGAAGTTCATCTCCTTGAGCTACTTTACTTCTTGTTTGTGACATGATCTACGCTCATCACACGTTTTTAAGATGTTAAATTCAGATTTTTTTCTGAATCACACCCATGGAATATAATGTAAATAAGGGAGGAGAGAGAGACATAAATAGAGATGGATGAACAGTAATCAATCGCGTCTTATTTATAAAATATTTTTCCTATTTACAAAAAAGAGGGTAATGTGATGATATTAAATTTTTGCTCCTATTTCGAAAGTGCCCTTACTAGAGTATTTCTAGTATTTTACAGGCATGAGCTTATCGTTCGACTGTTTTTTGGCTCGGTCAGCTAAGCTTAGTCAGCTTCAGGTTGATTGAAGCAACTCGATCAGCTAAGCTTGGTCGGCATGGGTAGATGGGTTGATCTAGAGTGGTTGTCGACCTTTAACCCTTGGTAAGGAACTTTTAGGACATCCGAAAGATGACTGAAGATACTGTGGAACTAGATCTTTTCTTGGATGGGCTCTACTAGAGTAGGCTATTATACTGGATCGGTTTTCTTGTAGTGGTTGGCCCGGATGCTCTTTTTTCTCTTTTCTAATCGAATGATCGGTGCTTGGATCATCTAGTCTTCGTCTAGCTTATTGGCTTGACTTATATGGTTTTGTTCGATCAATCAAGTGGGCCTCTGGATCTCCCGACAGTAGAGTCGCTTACAATATATTCTTCCCTTCTGAAGTGTTGGATCTTTTTAAAATTAATGTTGACATATTTTTGAGTTCTGTCAAGCCCCCTTTCCAGAGTTATGGAGCTGCAGAATTTGTTACAGAATAGTAGCTATGAGAACTTTGAGAGAACTTTGAGCTATTTTCAAATGATACCCATTTAAATAAAGTCTTTTTCAACTAATGCTGGCTGGATATATATATATATATATATATATATATATATATATATATATATACATACCAAACACATATATAACACAAACCACCAAGGAAGAATCCCTTATCCCCTCCTCACCCAATCACAACTCTCCTCACCTCACCCCACAAATCCCATCCTCCTCTAATACCCTCCACTCGCCACCCACGTCCTCCACACTCCCTCCACCATGGCCTCCGCTACATCAACCACAGTCTTCTCCTCTCCCCATCGCTCCTCGTTCCTCTCCCAAACACCAATCACCACCCCCAAATCCTCCCGTCTCTCCTTCACCGCCAAGCGCCGCTCGCCAATAAGCATAAAAGCCGAGCTCAACCCTCAGTTGGTGATCAGCTTAAGCACTGGTCTTTCCCTCTTTCTTGGCCGGTTCGTATTCTTTAATTTTCAGAGAGAGAACGTGGCGAAGCAGGGCTTGCCGGAACAGAACGGTCTTTCGCATTTCGAGGCGGGAGATACGCGAGCGCGCGAGTATGCCAATTTGCTCAAATCGAACGATCCTGTTGGGTTTAATATTGTTGATGTGCTTGCCTGGGGCTCTCTCGGGCATATCGTTGCGTATTATATACTAGCGACTTCTTCGAATGGGTATGATCCCAGCTTCTTTGGCGGGCAATGATTTAAGGACTGTAGTGAGATCTCTACTGTATGTGTTTTGTTTTGGTTGTGCCTGTGTGATATTTTGTTATGGGGCTTATAGAAGAAGGATTGATGGATTAGGGGGATTTTGGTGGTGATGGAAGGTTGGATTTAATCTTCTGTTTGTAATTTCGTTTTTTAAGTATGAAACAGAGTTTTTGAACTTAATTTTGGCTTGGATAGCTTTGCTGAAGTTTTAGTTTTGTCAGTGGGATTCCGTTCTGGTTTTTGTTTTTGCGAGGTTTTCGTCATTAAAATTTTCAAAAATAATAGTTACGTTCTTTTTTAGGGGTATAACCCAGATATAACCCCATTGTACCCCCTGAATAACCCCTGATGTACGCAGAGCTGCGTACATTTTATGTACGCAAATATTTTCCCTTTTTTAGAGAGTTTTTTTTTAATCAAATGAAGATTACTGGTGTTGTGAACGTTGAGTACGATCAGCAGGACTTGTAGCCCAATATTGTTTGGCAAGAATCAAAGTTCTTGGTGATGGCCTTCGATCCGTCTTGCTCTATACCAAAAATCATCTATCTGGTGCCAAAGTACACATCAGTAGACTTCATGGGCCTGATAAGTTTATATGCTCAAAAGATGCATCACCGGAATAACCTGCTAAATTGAACCACTGACACGCCAACTGATCTGTACCAGTTGCCGAGCCGATCTCACTCGACGAATTGACTTGATAGACTCACTTGGCGGAACGCCAATAGATCCTTGAAATTGTCAAAACAAAAAAAAGTCTAGGCTCACATTAAGGATTGACATCTATTACATCCTCATTTATGAATAGTCTGATATTCACGTCACAATCTTTGTATCGAGACATTATGAATGAACTTTAAAACTGTTACTCATATTTTAATAGTTTTCTAAAACATATACAATGAGAGGGGGGGTGTAATATATCATCCCCTCCTCTCTTATGGAGGAAGAATCATGAACATATTTGTTGTGAGATATGTACTTCCTGGCATAGAAATGAGACGAAAAAGAACACAAACAAACACAGATCGTTTACGTGGTTCAATCCAACTGGATCTACGTCCACGGGAGAGAATCAATCAAATATTTTACTAAGGCAAAAGAAATGGAGAATACATAGCTTATACATAGAGATGAGCCCTCATCTTCCTTCTATGGCCTCCCTCTCAAGCGACACCTTGATACAAGGCCTCAAGATGCTCTCCTCCTCTCTAACTCTATAGCTATTCTCTCCT